AATAAACAAAACACAATCAAACTGAACTAAAAAACCTGGCTGCACTTCTCTGCTATTTCTAAGATCTAAGCAATGACATCAAACTACAGGAAGGAGAGCCCCAGTGGTCTAACAGAAGAGATTCCCAGGCCTTCCGTTCATGCTTCCTCTCCTACAGCCGAACATTCTCCAACCAACGCCCCTTCCTTCCAACCTCCATGGGGCCTCCATATGCTATTAGCTCTGTGGGGGGAACATCAGGCAGAGCAGAGGAATGAAAGGGGTGACATCTTTGGAGTCCAAGGGACCCGAGCTTACTGTATAACCTTAGGCAAGTTAAACTAAACTAGGCCTGAGTTTCCACCCCTATAAAAATGGAATAACAAATAATATTTTCCACAAGGTTATAATGTGTAGAAAGCATCAAGAATTTGCAGCAAAAGGCAATCAACAGAGTGAAAAGGCAGCCTATGGAATGGGAGAAAATATTTGCAAATCATATATCTGATGAGGGGTTAATGTGTGAATCTATAAAGAACTCCTGTAACTCAACAACAAAAAACAAATTTCTTAAATTAAAAATGGGCAAAGGATTTAAATAACAAGTCTTTCCAAAGACAATATACAAATAGCCAACCAGCACACAAGAAGATGCTCAGCATCACTTGCCATGATGGAAATGCAAATCCAAACCACGTATCACCTTATACTAATTACAATGGCTACTACCAAAAACAAACATACAAACAAAATAGCTGTTCGCAAGCATGTGAAGCAATTGGAAACTTTGGCACACAGCTGGTGGGAATGTAAAATGGTACAGCCACCATTTTATGGAAAACAGTGTAGTGGTTCCACAAAAAATTATAAATAGAATTACCATATGATCCAGTAATTCCACTTCTGGGTATCCACCCAAAATAATTTAGATCAGGGTCTCAAAGAGATTTGTAGACCCATGTTCAGAGCAACTTCATTCACAATCACCCAAAGACAGAAGCAACCCAAGCATCCATCTACGGATGAATAAACAAAATGCGGTACACATCTTCAATGGTATATTACTCAGCCTTCAAAAGGAAGGAAATTCTGAAACATGCTACAGTATGATGGACCTTGAGGACAGTATGCTAAACTAAATGAGCCAGTCACAAAAAGACAAATACCGTATGATCCACTTCTATGAATAGCTAGGGTAGTCACACTCACAGAAACACAAAGCAGAATGATGGTTGCTAGCGGGGAGGAAAGAGGGAAACGGAAAGTTGTTTAATGAGCACAGAGTTTCAGTTTTGCAAGATGAAAAGTTCTGGAGCTTAGTTGCACCACAGTGTGAATGTGTGTAATACCACCAGTCAGTGCCCTTAAAAATGAGTAGGATGGTATGTTATGTGTATTTAACAATTTTCTAGAAAGCATCTAGAACTGTAGTTCTCTCATTTTGGTAAGCATAAGTATAACCGCAGGTGTCTATTAAGCATGCAGATTCCAGGTCCCCTTCCCCAGATATTCTGATTCAATAAAGTTTGAGTATGAGGCCCTGGCATCTGCATTCTCATCAACACCACAGGCGTATTTAGCACATTATTAGGATCAGAGTTCATTTATTAGGATCAGAGGATATTCTTTTGAACATTCTGCTCTGCTGATTAGAATCTATTTATTTTTAAGTGTGTGTGTGTGTGCGCGTGCGTGCGTGCGTGTGTGTGTGTGTGTGTGTGTGTGTCTGAAGAAAGAAAGAACAAACTCATGTTGAATCTAGCCACAGGTCCAAGAAGATAGCCCTCCAGTCCTGAGGGAAATATGAGCTACAAAGCTACTACGTGCAACCCCCGGGCTCCAGGCCCACAGGGCTCTCACATTTCTGCCTGTACAAGCTCTGCATCTTGCCAGAAGCGTGTCAAGTAAACCAAATGCATGCCCACAGGATGTCCCCAACAAGGGAGGTAATGTCAGGCATACTCTGCAGTGGCTTTGCCTCCCAGGCAGCTAGAGACAGAAGACCTAACTGGCAAACCCACTCCAACTAGCGCAGGGAAACCACGATTCTCAAGGGCAGCCCAGCGAGCAGAAGGCCAAGGAGAGCCTGGAGGGGGGCACGGCCAGGGAAATGCTGGCCAGGGCGGTCCTCGGTGAGAGCCAGAGCAGCCTGGGGAGAGGCAGCTCATTCAAGAAACCCAGGCCTCCCCTCCACAACCCAACCTGCAAAGGAGGCTCTGCTATCTCAGCCTAACCACATTCAGCCATGTAGTCATTTGTTATCTTCATCATCATAATAGCACCTTCAACTTTTCCCATGCTCTACTCTAGCACCATCATTATTTTGCAGTGTGGCAAGGGTGTCTCCCTTTGAGCATGGAGCACTTCCAGCAAACTAAGGCAGAGGGGCCTATGCCATTTGGATGCTGATTCCCCCAGAAGCAGATCCTCCATGAAACGGATGGAGACTACACTTCTCCATCACCCATTCCAAAGCCCTGAGTGGTCATCCAGCAGTGTGCTCACATAGCGTGGTTCTGTAACATGTACAAACACAGGATATTCCTATGTTCTTTTTCTTAAAACTCTCCCCCCGACAAATTGTATAAACTTCGGACCTGGGGAAAAAAAAAAACTCGATCTGCTGCTGGCTGCTGAACTGCACTTAAGTTTCATGTAGACCCCCACTTCCTGCAGTGCCAAGTGCTAATGAATGAATACATTAGCTCATTCAGCCTCTACCTTTATGGGGTAGGCTTTATTCTTAAAACACTTTTACATTACGGAAATGGGGATTCAGAAAGGTTGTGTGACTTACCTAGGGCTACCTGGGGTCCAGAAGATAGCCTGAGAGTCAAACTCAAGCTCCTAAAAAATCCAAGTCCAGTGTTCTTTCTACTATACCATCACTTCCTGGTTGTCCTGTTAAGTACTAAATAATAGGCCAGGTGTGGTGGCTCATGCCTGGTGGCTCTCTCCTGGAATCCCAGCAATTTGGGAGGCCAAGGCAGGAGGATTACTGGAGCTCTGGTGTTGAAGACCAGCCTGGGCAACATAGCAAGACCCCATCTCTACTAAAAATAATAATAATTTTAAAAATAGCTGAGCATGGTGGCAGGCACCTATACTACTTGGGAGGCTGAGGTGGGAGAATCACTTGAGCCCAGGAGTTCAAGGCTACAGTGAGCCATGATGGTACCACTGCACTCCAGGCTGGGTGACAGTGAGACCCTGTATCAAAAACAAAACAAAACCAAAAAACAAAACAAACAAACAAACAAAAAACAGACAAACTCTAAAAATAAATAAATAAGCTACTCCTCTCATTCATCTGTTAACAAGCCTCTCATAATAACCGCTACTGTTTACTGACTTCTTGCCATGTAGCAGGCACCAAGCTAGACTTTCCTGCAATATTTCATTTACATCTCACCATAATCCCATGAGATGAATACTATCATCAGTTTCACTCTACAGATGAGGAAACTGAAACTCAGAAAAGTTCAATAATATGTCCAAGCGCACACAGTAAATAGGAAAGCCAAGACTTAAGCTGAGGTCTAATTCTAAACTCCTTGCACAGAACCATGGTGCAATATTCCAGTTGGAAGTGGTGAAAGGTCCCTAGCAGGATGGAGACAGAGTAAGGACAATGCCTTGAGCTTGAATCAGGAGTGACCCAAAGTCTAGAAGAGTGAAAAAATGTAGGTAACAGAAGATAAGTTTAGGTTCAAATGAACCAGTAATCCCCATATCAGCTGCTTCCCATGGGTCCTACAGCCCGGGTCCCAAGCAGACGCCTCGTCTCTGAGAGGCCCTATTTAAAGATGCTAAGCGTGGTACAATATCTCCAAGTACCTCACATGATTTCCAACGAGCAAGAAAGGTGTCACCATCTCCTGTAACTAAACATCCTAGTACACTGAGTTTTTCAGTTAGTCCAGGCTTCACAGAGCTTATCTTTTAACTTTCTAAGCTTTGCTGGTGCCGCTGATAAGATATTCTAGCCCTGTTAAAACGAGATGAGATCTAGCCAGCTGTCGAGAAATGTACAATGAGATTATACTGAGAAGGAACCAGGAGAGACAAAGGCCCTTAAGAGGAGCCGGCCTGCTGTCTGCTTTTGTGGCAGCAATTGGAGTGGGCTCTGGTTTTGGGTGGGGGCAGGGAGCAGGGAAGGGGTGACCGCCATTTGCCTTTTGCCCTCCTGTGGTCTTCCTCAGTGCCTTGCGCAAGAGGCTGTTGAGGGGCAAGAAACAGAAGAGTCTCATTTTTCATAGTGAGAAGCGCTGGTGATTAGAACAGTTGTGTGTTTGATAACAAAGAGGACAAAAGATGCTCTTGGGTCCACCCCGTTCCCCGGTGCCTGCCTCTGAGGATGTGATGTCTGCTGCTGCCATGCCTCAGCTCTTGTCCCGGCCCCTGCCCCCTCGCTGGTGCTGGAGTCACTGTAGGGTGCTCGAAGTGCCCACCATGTTCCTGCATGGGTACTCTGGGTCTCGGGTACCCGGGCTGGGCATGTCACCTTGCAGACAGGTGCCCGAGGGTTCAGGTGTCCTCTCTGCTGTGCCCAGGTCACAGAGGCAGTGATGCCCCAGGGGCAGGTGCACGAAGGTCTGCACCCATGTGACCACAGAGAGCCGGACCCCAGGCCAGGCGGGTCAAACGACTGACTGTGCCCAGTCTGTGCCCCGGTGGGCCGCCTCCCTCTCACACGCACAGAGGTGGCTCTCAGCGCCCCTCACCTGCCCGGGCCCTGGGGGCGCTGCTGGCACTCGGGTCCCCCAGCTCCTCCCGCCTCCTGCCGCCAGGCCGAGCCCGGGCACCGGCAGCCGCGGCGCGCTCAGGGCTCGGCAAAGGCCGCCCGGGCCTGTCCCTGCCGCGGGCCGGGCACGGAGCCCGCAGGCCTCGGCCCGGCCCGGCTCCTCCCGTCCGCCCGCCCCTCGGCCCGGGGCCCGCGCCCCGCGCCCGCCCTCCCTCCCTCCCTCCCGGCTACATGGCAGGCTCGGCCGAGCCTCCGCGGCGCCCGGGCCTCACTTAACTGTTCCCCGCTGGGGCGGCGGCGGCGGCGGCTGCGGCGGCGGCGGGTCCCGGCTCCGTCTCACGCAGAAGCAGCTTCTCATCGCCCGGGCGGCGCGGGAGGGGCCGGGCCCGGGGCCCAGGCGGCGGGAGCCGGCGCCGCAGCTCGAGCGCGAGCCTCACCGGGAGCGGCGGCGGCGGCGGCGGCGGCGGAGGGGCGGGGCGCGGCCTGGCGGCGGCGGCGGCGGCAACAACGACGGCGGCGGCTCCCTCCGCGGGCCGCGGCGGTGGCGAGCCGGGCTCCGGGCCTCCCGGCGCTAGCGCTGGTGCTGGCTCAGGCTCGGGAGAGGCTCCCGGCGCCCGAGGCTGGATCAGGCAGGAGGAGGGAGCAGGAGCCCTGGCGTCCCGAGCCCGCGCCGCCGCTCCGGCCGGCACCCCGCCTCCCCGGCCTCCCCCACGGCCCAGCCCGTCAGCACCCGGCAGGGCCCCGGCGCGCCCACCTGGGCCTCCTCGAGCCCGCCGGCGACCCCAGACCAGCCTCAGTCCCCCCGGAAGCCCCCGGCCTCTGGAGCCTGGGGCATCGGTGGTCCCTGCCCCCAGGCTGGTCTTGTCTTGGGACCCTCAGCCCGCTTAGCTCTCGTAGGCCTCACTGTACCCAAGACCAGTCTTGAGCTCAGCTGCAGGTCCCTGGAAGCCCCCAGGCCCTCAGGCTAGAAATTGGCCCCTTCTAGGGACTCTCCACCCACGCAGCCATTCTAGGCTTCACTGAACCCTAGAATCCAAAGCTCATCTTCTCCCCACCCACCCCCAGCTCAGCCACTCGTCTAAAGCTAACCCCAATTTCCTGGCAATACTCGGGCTTCCCCTTACGCTGGTTAAATGATTTATCTTTGGAGGCCTAGAGCCAGGTGTATGGGGCCAGCCTCAGGCGAGCATCTGGAAGGTGAGGATTTTAGCCGGAGGCCTATTCTGCAGTACATGGGGAAAGGCATAAGCCAAGGATGAAGTGGAGCTGGATGGGTGGGAGAGGTCCCAGACCTTGACCCTCAGCTAGAGTAGCTGGTAGGAAAGGCAGACTCTGTGTCTTAACCAACCATGCCCCACACACCGCAGCCAGGCACCTCAGGCAGAGGCCAGGGTGTGCAAGATTTAAAAGATTTCTTGCCAGGAGGCTGCACCATTCAGCAGGAGCTGAGGACCATGCAGGAGTGATCAGCATGGATTTGCTAATGCATTGAGTCTCATTTTCACGCATTCTAGGCTTTTCCACAATAGCTGTTTGATCCTAAAGAAAAGGGTGCCAAGCAGAATGGACTGTCAGGGAGAAAACATCCTGTGGGGAAGCCATGCACTGGTGCATTCCCAGTGTCTTCACTACTCAGAAATGACATGGGTTCAGGTGGCTCGACAGCAAGTCCTGTCATCCCATCAGGGGACAGATAATCTCTATGTTACTTAAACTGTTACACAGGAAAAATAAGAATAAAAGAAACAAAAATGTTTATTTCATTTCCCAAGTTTAGCATAACCCTGATACCAAAATCCAACAGACAATACCGAAAATAACTGCAGATGACTAACCTAAAACAGGAGTCCCCAGGGAATTTCATATTTGTTTTTTTGAAAATGGGCTTCTGCAGACAACTTGAGAAGGTGCTGCACGTCATTTATAGTGTACCTTTTGGAGAATCACACTAAGTGTTGGTATATTAAGGAAGGTCCCTGTGAAGTCCAGGAGTAAAGAAACCTGTTTGGTTTGTTTAACCTGGCATTTCCCAAACTCATCTGAGCCAGGACTACCTTCTAAAGCTCACTGATTAATCTTCAATATGTGAATCTCTGCTATAGATCAACTCATTTAAGTGTATGGTAGTGAAAAAACTATTAAATAAAATTTTAGCAATTTGAATCCAGTTTACTATTAAAGGAACTCAAAACCCACCATGATCAAGCAAGATTTATTCCAGAAGTGCAAGAAAAATTCAACATTAGGGAATTTGTAAATTCATTGCATTGTTAAAGGAAAACAAATTACAGGACATTATCAAAGGTATGGATGCTTTGAAAGTATTTGACACACTTCAAAACGAATGACTTATACATTTTTAAAAACTCTAGTAAACTATTATAGAAAGGAAATTTAAACTTTTTAACATGACAACGTTTATCAGAAGCCATCAGCAAACATATTTAATGGTGAAACACTAAAGGTATTCCCATTTAAGTTGGAGTCAAAAGGATGCCTGCTATAATGGCTATAAAATAAAGCCAATGCAGTAAGATAAGAAAACTAAATAAGAAATATAAATATTAGAAGAGATAAAATTGTCATTATTTGCTCATGATTTGTTTCCCAAAAAATAAAAATAAAAAAGAATCAACTAAAAATCAGTGACTTTGGTAAGGTGGTCAGTTATAAGATAAACACCAAAATCAATGGTTTTCCTAAATGTTAAGGGAGAAGCCTTCTTCTTTCTTCTTTTATTTTTTCTTATCCTGTCTTATGGTGTTGAAGGGAGAAGACTTCTTTTCCATATAGAGAAACTTTCATTAGAATAAGACTCTTGGCCTCTCTCCATACTAAGGGAAGATTAGTGAGTTTGGAAAAAGTGATTGGACAAGAATAGATGCTTCTGAGTTCTCTATTTGGATTTGGCTGACTGCAGAGAGCAAATATTTCCATGTGCTCTCACTAGGGGGTAAGTGAATCTGTTTCAGGGACAGAGCCATACTATTGTCCTGCACTAACTGCCACTGTAGAAATAAATCTACTCAATTCAGGGAGAAATATAGCAAGCCCACTTAGCTACAGACCAAAAGCTACTTTTTCCAGTCAGCTTCATCAAAAATTAAGGTAATATTTTTGTCCTATGTCTCTTTCTTGTGTCCATGTGCCAGTTTGTTCCAAACTCAGAATAGGGAGGGAAGCATTACTTATAGAGATCCCCAAATACAACATTCAATACCAGTGATTTCCATTTAGAAAGTATGATGGAAAAAAATCGTATTCACATTAGCAATGAATACTATAAGGCATATGCTAGGCATAAGCTTAACAAGAGATGGCAAGGTCCATAGAAACAAACCATAAAACCTGACTGAAGGACATAAAAGAAGATCTTAATAATCGGAAAAGTATAACAAATCCCTGGGCAGGAGTTCTCAACAGTGCAAAGACACTATATCTCCCCAACTTACTTGATAAATTTAGTAAAATTCAGATCAAACAACCAATATGATTTGAGGGATAGATTGAGATGGAACATGACAAAATTATTTTAAAATTTACCATGATTGGTCCAAGTGTGGTGGCTAATGCCTGTAATCCCAGTACTTTGGGAGGCTGAGGTGGGAGGATTGCTTGGGACCAGGAGTGTGAGACTGGACTGGGCAACATAGTGAGACTCATCTCTAAATTTTTTTTTTTTAATGAGCCAAGTAAAGTGGTGTGTGCCTGTGGTCCCAGCTACGTGGGAGACTATGGTAGGAGGATTGCTGGAACCCAGGAATTTGAAGCTGCAATAGGCTATAATCACAACACTGCACTCCACCCTAGGCAACAGAGCCAGACCTTGTCGAAGAAGAAGAAGAAGGGGGTGGGGGAGCAGGAGGAGGAAGAAGGAGGAAGAAGGAGAAGGAGAAGGAGAAAAGAAGAAGAAGAAGAAGGGGAGGGGGAGGAGGAGAAGAAACAACTTACCTTGATAAATAAGTATCAGGAAATACCCATGATTTTTTTTTTTTCCTTGAGATGGAGTCTCTCTCTGCTGCCCTGGCTGGAGGGCAGTGTTGCAGTCTCGGCTCACTGCAACCTCCACCTCCCGGGTTCGAGCAATTCTCCTGCTTCAGCCTCCTGAGTAGTTGGGATTACAGGCACGTACCACTACGCTTGGCTAATTTTTGTATTTTTAGTAGAGACAGGGTTTCACCATGTTGGTCAGGCTGGTCTCAAACTCCTGACCTTGTGATCCGCCCATCTTGGCCTTCCAAAGTGCCGGGATTACAAGCATGAGCCACCGTGCCCACTGAAATTTTTGAAATGAAAGAATAATGAGAAAATATTACTCTAACAATTATTAAAATGTAATGTAAAACTTCAGAAAAAACTATGGGCCCACCTAGCGTAGGAATATACACTTTTATCATATATTAAGTTCTGTTTATAAATGCTTTATTTTTGTCCATTGATCTCTTTGTGTGTGTGTGTGTGTGTGTGTGTATACAGATATATATGTATATATATATGTGTGTGTGTGTGTGTGTGTGTGTGTGTGTGTGTGTGTATATATAATTTTTTTTTTTAGTTCTGGGATACATCTGCAGAACGTGAAGGCTTGCTACACAGGTATACATGTGCCAAGGTGGTTCGAGGCACACATTGACCCGTCATCCAGGTTTTAAGCCCTGCTTGCCTTAGGCATTTGTCCTAAAGCCCTCCCTCCCCTTTCCTCCCACCCAACCCCCCACAGGCCCTGGTGTGTGATACTCCCCTCACTGTGTCCATGTGTTCTCATTGTTCAACTCCCACTTATGAGTGAGAACATGTGGTGTTTGGTATTCTGTTCCTGTGTTAGTTTGCTGAGATTTGTATATTTTTAAATAAATATTCCTAGTCGGGCGCGGTGGCTCAAGCCTGTAATCCCAGCACTTTGGGAGGCTGAGGCGGATGGATCACGAGGTCAAGAGATCGAGACCATCCTGGTTAACATGGTGAAACCCCGTCTCTACTAAAAATACAAAAAAATTACCTGGGCATGGTGGCGTGTGCCTGTAATCCCAGCTACTCAGGAGGCTGAGGCAGGAGAATTGCCTGAACCCGGGAGGCGGAGGTTGCGGTGAGCCGAGATCACGCCATTGCACTCCAGCCTGGGTAACAAGAGCGAAACTCCGTCTCAAAAAATATAAATAAATAAATAAATAAATAAATAAATAAATATTCCTATAAAAATAGGTATATCCATTGCATATTATATATTTATTGTATATAATAGGACTATCCATTTTAATCTATTGAGTATTTGTATATACATATACAAATAAGATACAAATTTGTGTATTTCCATGCACCCTACTCCAAACCATATTATCTGGCCTATACCACTCTAGTAATTTCCTTACTGGTCTCTTGGCTTTGTCCTACCCAAACAATGGAAAACAGCTACCAGAGCAGTCATTAACAAATAATAATAGG